AGGGAGACCCAGAGTGTGGGCAGCACTCCAAGGAAAGGGGCACCGGGTCTGGGAAGGACATGGGGCCTGAGGCAGGAGAGACACCGGCCAGCAGGACCTCATGTGATGTGCCCTGGTTCAGGGCCTGTTGGAAGCTGCAACCTTCTAATTTCTTATTGGACATTTGTCAAAAGGGTGCTCAGATTTCTGGTCTTAGTTTCTCTGCTCCATCTGTTGGTAGCCAGTAGGTGCTGCTGGTGTATAACACATTCCTTTTACTGGAGATTTTTATGTTTGATTCATTTCAAGGGTTGTGTTTCTCTGTTAACCCTTACTGCTCATTGGAATTCCTCCCTCTTAACACAACTTGTTTCATATTTTGGAGTCATACTGTGTTAAGTGCTTGTAGCTTTCAGTATAGGTGTCCATAGTCTGTACATGCTGTGACCACATCTAACACCTTTCATCAGTGGTGAGCTGGAGCCGGTTCGCAGGAACCAGTTGTTAAATTTAGAAGCCCTTTTAGAACCGGTTGCTCCCTCGCCCCCCCGGCCCCAGCTCACCTCTGCTTCCTCGGCTCCTCCCCTGAACACTCTGACCCCCTTCCCCTCCCCTGCTTCCCGTGAATCAGATGTTCTCCCGGGAAGCCTGGGAGGGTTCAGAAACAAGCACAAGGTAAGCTGGGGCGGGGGGGCGTGAGGAGGGCTCCAGGGAGGCGCAGCCTGGCCCAGAGACTTCGGCCCGGCCCTGGCCCCGGCCGAGCGGCCCCGGCCCGGCCTCCAGCACGGTAAGGGGGCAGGGAGCTGGTGTTGGAAGAGGGCAGGGGAGTTCGGGGGGGGGGTGGATAGGGGTCAGGGCGGTCAGAGGGCAGGGAACAGGGGGATTGAATGGGGACCTGGGTCCCGGGGGGGCAGTCAGGAAGGAGCAGGGGTTGGATGGGGCGGCGGTGGGCAGTCAGGGGACAGGGAGAAGGGGTGGTTGGATGGGGCAGGGGTCCTGGGGGGTGGGGGGGCCACGACCCCCTCGTGGGGTGAGGAGGAGGGAACCGGTTGTTAATTTTTTTGGCAGCTCATCACTGCCTTTCATCTCACAGCTTTTAGGGCTGTGAACAGGACCAGAACAGGCAGTGGTGCAAGTAGAAATCATTTCTTGCCGGTACTGCACTCATGGGAGGGACACGAGGGGGCACCTGATCTCCCCACGTGACTCTTCATGTGACTCCTCCCTGCCCCAGCCCGGGGCCCCCACGCTCTCCCCGTCCCCTCCAACACCCCCCTTTGTATATACAAACATCAATGTGTTTAACTACTCACTTCCCCCCTCATATGTAGTATTCAGTCTGTTTATGTGGAATATGGGAGTTGGGTGAGGAGCCATTTCAGCATATGTATGACTTATTAAAAGACAAATTTTAAGTAGAACTGTATCCTTAACTAACTATTGTACCTACCACTGTATTTCAATGGGGGATTCAACTTCCTTTACAGGAACAGACTCCTGAAACTCTTACCAGCCCACAAAAGTGGTCCATAGTCATGCAAATAGTCTCATTGTCTTCAATGGGATTGATCAAATGATTAAGGGTTTACAGGATTAGGTTCCAAGTTTGTAAATTGTTCTGGACAAAACTGATGCCTGAGCTGTCAGATCAGAAGGAGCTTCATTCAAATAAAGGTGGGCAGACGTGTGATAACTCTTAGCGCCGTTGCTAAGATGAGGAACATATTGTCAGCAAAGTTCTTGGCAGATTCCTGAGGCAGCTGGTTTAAGGCCGTCAGTGTCCGGCATTATAATCTTCACTTCTAGTTCTCTCACCCACAAAGCTGGAAAATGAAGCATTTGTTTTCTTTGTTTTGCTGCTCCAGTTCCAGTTAACAAAATGCATGTTAGACTAGTTTGTCTGCAAAGAAGAATTCTTTGTATGCTGGGGCCAACACCTGATTCCCGTCAGGCTGCAGAACTGGGCTGACATCAGAATCCAAACATCCTCTGGTCAGTGCAAGCAGAGGCATTCCTCTAATGATCTGGACTTGATGTGATGCAGTATGGATGCCATGGATAATTCAGACCAATGGGGAGAAACAGAATCAAAAACACTGTTTAAACACCTTCCATCCCCCCACTCTCCCCTCTTGAGGACTCCTGACCAAAGGTAACAGCACAATACAGATGCTAACAGCCTTTGTTTAAGGTTGTTAGCATATGTATTGTTGTACCGTTAAACCCAGTTAAAGAACGAATGCCCTCCCTAACAGCGTTCTGCTAAATCTCTTGCCGGTACTGCGTACTGGAGGGTCCCGCCCTACTTGCGCTCCTGAGAACAGGAGTTATTAGCCTGCAGGAATAAGATCGGGTAGCCTGACATACAGCCGAGTCCTCAGACAGACAAATGCACAGATTCTACTTTGGGATCAAAGTTCTGTTGGACTTCTCTGAGGGATCTGGAGTTTGACCTTTAGACCCTTCACTTTTCTGGGTCTCTGAACGAGGGATTCCTAGACAGCTTCTTTAAACGTTCAGCTCTTCCTCCTCTCTGGCACTTAGTTTCCTGCAGGATGCAGGCAATAGGCTAGTGGTCCACTCTAGTGCGTTACTCTTTGTCTGTCAGCCTTTGGGGGCTCCCTGGAGCAGACAGAGCCAGAAGCTCTAGCCACCTGCAAATCATGGGAGGGTCCTGCCTATGGGAGTGGGAGTAGCTGTAGCTAAAAGAATGTTTTAAAAACCTTCTATTTCCTGTTCTGGGGGGAGGAGGGAAGGGAGGATAGAGGTTCCTTAGACAATGTGTGTCACATATTTAAGGTGTGGACTGTTTCTTCCATTCTGAGCAGGCAGAGGTGTGGTGAATATGGGTGTACTTGTTAGCGGAGTAGAGGATGGAAGGGCCAGGCGGAGCTAAAGAGTGTTATGCTGGGGTTGGGTGATACCTCACTGAAGCTGAGCGTGTGACAGTGCCTTTCATGCAGGACCAGAAGCAGTCAAGCTCCTGCTGGAGTGAGATTAGCACCCCACCACAACTCAAAACACAGGCCACATGCAAAGCCAACCTGGAGCCAGCTGTGCAGGGGGTGGGTTTCCCTGGGGGCTGAATGCAAACACAGAAGGCTGGGTATTGTTTTGGTGGAGCTGTGTGTGTTTGTGTGGGTGCCAGCCAGTTGTCCCACTGCTCCCCACTCCCATGGCCAGGATTGTCTGACTGGCTGGATGACCCCATGGGGTAGGAGGGGGTTCTGGCTGCTGTGGCATAAGCAGGCTGAGCGCCCCCCCCCCTCCCCAATTACTGCATCAGTGTTGAAGTAGCTGAGTCTGCCACTGGCTAGGCAGGTCCTTTAGGGGCCTCGTGCCCCCTCTGGGCGCCCTGGGCCGAGCCAGGCCTGCTGGGTGTGAGTGCCAGGAGCAGCAGTAATCTGGCTGCTCTCCTGGCCCAAGCATGGGTCACCATGGCGGGAGCAGGTAGGACCCCCTAGCCAAGGCCCAGCCAGGGGCTGCTTGGGAAGGGCCTGACCAGAGATGAGCAGCTCAGAGGCCATGGCACAGCTTAAGGCCACTGGCTGCCCCTGACCCTGGGGCCCCCGGTTGGTGTTGGCAGGGCCGGGCCCCAGACAGGTAATGCAGAACCCCCACCGCGGGCAGGAGGCACTGTCCCTGGAGGGACAAGTCTGGGCTAGACAATGTGTGCGGTTAGGGAAGGCAGGACCTGAGCCCAGGGGGCTGGAGTGGACCCACCCCACCAGAAGGAAGCAAGACAGCGGGGAGGGAAGCCAGGGACTCCAGTGGTACGGAGCCTTTCCCAACCCTCACCCCAGGGACAAAGCTAGGGCATGCCGGGCTGCTCCCTGCTGCAGCGATGCCTTATGGGAACGTGCCGGGCAGCGAGGAAACTGCTGGCGAAAAGCCGGGGAAGGAGCCCTACAGCCGCTGGAGCACGGGCAGCTCCCCAGAGCGGGGCTCCCTGCCGGCCAAAAACTGACCAAGCCCCTACCCAGCAGTTTGGAAAAGTCCTGGGGAAAGGAGCCGAAGAGGGGAAAGGTGGCACCCCTCTGCCAGGGCGTCTGCTGGGCAGGGAGAGGCCAGGGAAGTGGTGTGGTGCATTTGGGAGGTTTATCTAGGTGATGCGCATTGGGTGGAGAGTTCTCCTAAAAGGGACCCCACAGTGTGTATAGGAAGGAAATCCGCCCCCTCAGGGTCCCCTTCTGCCATCCCCTTACCAGACTCCCCAGGGCAGAGCCAGTTTAGGGACAAGCATTCATGGGGTGCCTGCAGCTGAGCAGGGGGCTAGCTGAGCCCTGCCAGCAGTGGAGAGGTCAGTTCCCGGGGCACTAACCCAGAGGGGGAGGAGCAGCAGCTGCCATCCCCCCAGGGGCACAGGGGGCAGGGCAGGTGCCTCAGGCGGCTGCAGCACTGCTCTGACCACAGGACTGCCCCGAATCAATCCCGGTTTGAACAGAACCTTTAGAACCTTGGTGGCTGAAGAACTTCCAGCGATGGAGAATCCACCACCAGCCGGTATGAAATTGCTGCAGTGGTTCCTCGCTCTGTCACCATTTACCCCTTCGGTCTAGTGTGAATGGTCCCATTGCAGTGCTGGCTGGAGTGAAGGGCCCTGACTTACCATGTTCCTCTTCCCCCAGATACCACCAGTGTGATCACCACCCCTGAGCCTTCTGTTGGATAAACTCCTTGAGGTTGGCGCTATAGGGCAGCCCCACTTCCCCCCCTGCCAGGCCCCTCTCTCCAGCCAGGCTGCACCAGGCTCAGGCTCTGCCTGGCTTCCTGGGACTCTGCAGACAGCGAGGTTCCAAACGCACAGGGGGGAAGCAGGTTCCCCGGGGAAGAGCAAAGGCTGCCTGCAGGAGGCTGGTTTGGGTGACACGTGCAGCACCCCCCTGCCCTGGAGAGGGAGCAGGACAGGAACAGGCCCCAGGTCGATAGGGGTCAAGTCTCGGCCTGGGAGCATTGTGACACGCCCCCCCTTGCATGGCTGGGAGGCAGCTGTGGGGCTAGACGGACACCTGCACACAGGGGACAGCCCAGCAGAGGATCCATTTTATTTACACTTGATTATAATAGAGCCATTACTGTAGCAGTTAGGGGCCGGGTGGGAGGGAGACCCTGGCTGTTGCTGGCTCAGCTGGCAGTCCTCATCCCATGGCTCAGCCGCGTTACACCGGCCCCTGCCCAGGACTGCAGGCCAGAGGTCAACTTACAGAGGAGGCCCAGCTGACCTGGCCCTCCCCATTGCCATGGGCCCCAAGCCCCACCAGCCCTGTTACAGAGGCTACCCCGCAGGGGGCTCTGCACCTCCACCCCTACAGCAGTGCAGCACCCTCCCCTCCGTGGGATCATGATCAGCAACCCCTTGGCCAGCAGGAAGGCAGCAGATAGCACGGGGCAGGGACCCTCTGCCTGCAGCTGCCCCCAGCCTCGCCAAGCCCAGCAGCTGGGGCTCTGCAGCAGGGAAGTCGATGAGAGACGTTTAGAGCTGTCCCTTGGCAGAACCACATCCAGCCGGCAGCCCGGGGCACAGGGGCTTGGCGTGCCCCGCTGAGGGATGGGGAATCATTGTGTTGCTGGAAGGGACAGGTCGCTTGGAGCTGCGGGACTTGCTAAGGGCACCCGGACCCAGGGGCCCAGCCCAATCAAAGTGTTTTCCCACTCAGTCCAGCTGCAGGGAACTAAATAACGCAGGCGCTTGAGCTGGAGAGGGAAGGGATTGCATGGCACCAACTCTCCATGCTGTGCCCACCTCCACGCTGCAGCTACCCCTGAGCCCAGTTGACCCCCAGTTCAGGTGTGGTGGGTTGGGAGACAGAACCTGCTCAGGGGCGTTTAGAAGCATTTGTGTCGATAAGGATCAGTCAGAGCTGTCCTGGCTGTTCCTGTGGGCAGAGCCCCAGATCCCAGCACATTCACAGCCAGGCAGCGCGAGGCGCCCGGCGCTCACATCTCATCTGCACGGTGCTGCTGGATCACGACGCTGGTGGTGCGCTCCACCCACTCCTGCTTCTTAGTCCCCCAGGCTGCCGGCTCCGCAGAGTGCAAGGGGCCCTTCCCGGGAAGCTGCTCCGGCTGCTGCTGGGGGGGACCCAGCTCAGAGCTGGCTCCTGGCGGAGGGTCGGAGGAGGAGTTGCTGTTGATGGCAGAGCCATGCTCCGCTTTGGGTGGGCTCTGTCCCCCGTCCCGGGAGTGATTGAGGCTGCCCGTCAGCAGGGCCGTCTCAGATTCCAGAGCCAGTCCCTCCATTATGTGCTCCCTCTGTGTTTCAGGCCCCTCCGCCTGCTGGGCAGCTGCTGCCTGAAACTGGGCCGCATCATTCGGGTACTCACGGATCTGCCGAGACAGCACTGCAAGAGAGAGGAGAGTCAGCCTGGCGTCGCCAAGAGCGTCATGCGCCAGGCCGGGGGCTGGCCCCAGGCTCTCCTGACCTTAGTCTGCACGGGGCAGCAGAGAGCATCTTTGGCAGCAGCTTGCAATGGGACAGGACAGCCGAGCAACCCACAAACAGGCCCCGTGCACACGAGGCGTGAGCCCACGTCTGGGAAACCACATCTCTGCTGGGGCCGCATCACCTGGAACGTTCACCCCAGAAGAGTTCACTGTCGGGCACAATCCTGCCCCTCCTGCTCACCCCCGTGCAGCCGGTCGGTCACTCACCTCCTCGGAACCCCTCCTGCTGCACTCTGGCTCCCAGCGGGTAGAGACTGGGCGAGAGAATGAGGCAGAAGGACAGGAGCAGGACCTGGAGAGAGACAACCGAGCCATCAGCACCGGCGCGTGACTCCGGCCCCGCCAGCCAAGGAGGCTCCTCAGCACCACCCGCGTGGCCAGCACAGATCTTGGGGCCAATGCCCGGCTACGGGGCCACTCACCATGACGCAGGTGCTGGCGGTGGTAGTTTTGGTCGAGGACTGTCTCACCAGGGCCTGGAGCCTCCGTAGCTGCTCGAGCAATGACCTAGGGCAAAGTGTGAAACGCAGGTGAGTGCAGCCCCTCTTCCCAGGCTGCCCATCCCGCCACCGAGCCCCGCACAGACCCCCGCATCCCTCCAGCCTGGGACCAGGATCCTGGGGAACAGGCTTCGCTCCCCTGGCATGTCAGTGCTGACTGGAGGGGCACAGGGAGACAGTGTCCCCTTCCCACCCTCTTGCCCCCAGGTTTCCATGTCTGGAGTGTCAGGAACTCACATGTTCTCCTTCTGCAGCAGCTGCACCTTCTTCTGCAGCTCGTGGTTCTGCGCCGTGCAGGTGACGACCCTTCCCAAGCAGCGATGGGGAGAGAGGAAAGAGTCAGACTGACCCTCATGGGAAACCGCGCTGGTGGCTCAGGAGGGAGTCCCTAGACCCTGCCCAGTGCCAGGTGCAGAATGTCCTGAGGGTGGGGGGCAGGTGTGACCTCATCTGTCCCTAGCACAGCCACAAGCTGGGGGCACGGACAGCCAAACTGCTCTGACACAGCTAGGAGGCAGGGCCATGGGCTGCCGCCGATTTGCGGTACAGTCGCAGGGCAAGCAGACGGGGTCGCTGGGGTTACCCTGGGACAGACCTCTCAGTGGTAAAAAAATCAGGTCCCACTCCTCCGCACGCTCACACCAGTGCTTGGAGCCCCCGAGCCGGGGTTGCTGGGGTCTCTCGCGGCAGGAGCAGCTCGGCAGGAGTGTCTGGCAGAACGTGGCACCCATGGGAGGGGGAAGGGCTCATTCACTGGCGGGTCTCAGACCTTGATTAGAGCTTTGCAGCTCCGCCAGAGCGCGGTACAAACAGGCCCTGCCTATCGGCTTCTGCTCCTCTGGGCCCGGGGGCTGGCAGCTGCCTCCAGCGCTTGGTGTCCTGCCCTTCTCCTTGTGCCGGAGGGTTCACTACCCCAGCGCTCTGGCAGGGGGCGCTCCCCAGACCCACGGGAGGAGCGACGCCCTCTGCTGGGCCTATCACTCCCTGACATCCTGGGGAGATGCGAAACCCACTGCTGTGCCCATGGTACCTGCTCTCCAAGCCATCCACATAGACTTTCTTCCTGCGCCGACTGTCCAGGGCCGACTGCTTGTTCCGGATCTTGCGACGGATTCTCTTCAGGAGCCGCTCCTCAGCCTGAAACAGCCAGCTCGGGTTACTGGCCATGCCTGGGCCTCCACACTCTGGGGCGAGAGCCCCCCTTACGCTCATAGCGACGCCCCTGCCCGGAACCCAGCCCTGACCCCGCCCAGGGAGCAGCAGCTGGCGGGTACCTGCCAGGGGCAGGAAGGGCCTGGGGAGGGCAGAGGTTACTCCAGGTATTTCTCACATGCTTTGCCTGTGATGTCACTAGGAACCCAGCTGCAGGCCCTGGCCCAGAAGGCAAGGTGACCTATGGCCTGTCCACGAGACCTGCTGCCTTCTAGTATATCAGGAAATCAAGGGGCACTATCAGCACAGCTGGGAGACAAAAGGCAGAGGAGCCCCAGCTCTGACAGCACCTTCTGCAGTTCCAGTCTCTGCATGTGCACCCACACCTGCTTCCACCCCCATCAGCCCACAGCCCCTACAGCGGGCACACACGCCTGGGCCTGGCTTCCAGCTCACACCAGGCGGGCTGACCAGAACCCAGCCCGGCCAGAGGGCTTGAAAACAGGGCCTGAAAGAGCCACTGGCCCTAGGAGACCAGGCCAAACTCCTTGGCAGGAGGAGAGGGCCTGAGCCAGCGTCCCTGCAGAACACGGCCCCATACAGCACAGCCATCCGGAGGGTGCAGACAGGCACAGCAAACTAACAAGACTGGCCAGTTTCATGGCTGCTCTTCAGGCCCCCGTGGGCAGCTGAGGACTGTCAAGACTCACTTCACTCGTCTTCCTGCTGCTGGGGAACTCTCCGCAGCAGCACAGAACCCCCATCCCTCCACAGCAGCCAACTTGCGGGGGGAGGGGCAACGGCTGGCCACACCTTCTTCCTTCTAGCAGATAGAGAGGCAGTGGCTCAGATCACCTTGCTGGGGTCTGGCCAGTGGCCACTATGGAAGATGGAGCCCCGCAAGCAGGGTCCAGGGCAGAAATCCAGCACCATTCGCGGAGCTGGGGGCTGAGCCTCTGAGCAAGACACTGGCCCTGGACCGTGGTAATGGGGCCCCCCTCTTCATCACTTCTATCAGTCTCTGGCCTGGGAATGAGTGAGGGGAGGGGCCATGCACTAGAGCGGGGGGGTGGGGGTGAACTCACCTTGGTCAGGGGCAGGTGGGACGGCAAGGAGACACCCTCTCTTTCCAGAAGCTGTTTCTCCTCTTCTGTCAGGATCAGTTCCGGGAAATCGAACTACAACACAAACCAACCTGCTGCTGAGCCTGGAGAACCCCTCCCCTGGACTAGCGAGGGAGGCCCCCGGGGCAGGATGGGAGTCAGCACCTGAGCAGGGAGCGGAGGTGCAAGTGAGGAGGGAAGGCAGGGGCCCGCCAGCATTAGCAGTGGGGCCTGTCCCTGGGGCAGGGGCCCGCCAGCATTAGCAGTGGGGCCTGTCCCTGGGGCACGGGCCTCAGTACCTGTATGGGGGTCCCAGGCATGAAGTCATCCATGGGCACAGCAAGCGGGAAGCTGGAACTCTGCTCGTCGATCAGCGTCTCCTCTGCACTTCCCGAGTCCCCCCACATATCTGGGAGAGGAGCGAGAGTCAGGCGCCGCCCACTGTACAGCCCCTGCCAGCCGGCCCCAGCAGGCCAGCCAGACCCCTCTTCCTCCACCCGATAGACAGCTGGGCTGCTTCCCTTCCATGGGCTCAAGCTGCGGAAGAGGGATTCCCCAGGCCTACCCCTTACCCAGGTCAATGGAGATGTCTCCTTCTGCGGTCTCAGCTCTCACGCTCTCCAGCGCCGCCCTGTCCTGATGGAGGGAGTAGCTGTGTTCGACCTGCACGATGTCAGAGCTCAAAGGGCTGGAGGCGAGGTCCCTGGCCGGAGACGCATCCCAGCTGCTGGGGCTGGGGAAGGGATTCTGGTCCTCGGAGATGCCGCTATCGCTGTCGAGAGGCGAGTGACCCTGCAAGGCACTCGGCCCCTCTACAAAGGGGCTCAGCAGGGAGCTGAGAAAGTCCTCCACCTCCTTGTCATTCAGGAGCTGCAGAGAAGAGTTGCTGCTAAGCAGAGGATGGAGGCCTGAAAGCCCCCTCCCACGGCCCAGCCCAGCTCACTTCTCGGTGCTCTGCACCGGACAGCAGTCTCACCTCGGGCTCCAGCAGACCCCAGTCTCCCAGCAGGTTGGCGTTGTCCCCCGAGAACTCTGCACAGGGAGCATCATCTGCCAGGAGGAAGCTGAGCAGCTCCTCGTCTGCCAAGGCAACCACCTCTTCTGGGCACGACATCTGAGTAAGACAGACAGAGCCATCCAGGGGCTGTCGGAGAGACCCACCCTCGCATCCTCCCTCCTGCCCGGGCACTCACATCACTACGGGGGTAACTGCCAGGAGCTCCACAGGGACGGGTACAACCCATACAAAGCCAGGCCCCGGAGACTCCTGCAGCAAGGCTCCCAGCACACCTCTGCCTGGCCAGGCACCGTCTGGGCCCAGCAGCCCACAAGCAGGGCAACGAAAGCAGGCGATGCGGCCAAGGCACCTCACAGTGTGAGAGCGCTGCAACAAGGCACAGCTGGCTGGGCAGGGCCCAGGGGAGTCGCCTCACCCAGCCCCGATACGAGACTGGCTCCTGCAGGTTTCCCTAGAGCCAGAAGAGTCTCTGCACCCTGGCCTGATGCCAGCTAGGCCGGCACTCCTCGGAGGCCTCAGATCAGGTGCACCAGCTTGTGACCAAGCTGGAGGGCAGATCCCAGAAGCCCGAGTCTCAGCACCGCAGCAGCTGCTCAGAAACAGGAAGTTGGTCCATGGGGCAACCCTGGTGGATCACTCCGTCCGCTCCCTCAAAGGAGCAGGAAGCAAGGTGGTGAGAGGAAGGGGGATGCAGGGGCCCCATTGTTCCAGCGAGCACAGGGAACATCTGGCTGGGAATCACGCACTGAACAGGTCCCCAGGTGGGGAGGAGCTGGGCCACTGTGGGCGATTCGGAAGGAAGGGTCATAAAAGCTGCTCTGCACACAGAGCAACACCTCCCCCAACACACGTGTACACACACACACGCGTGCACAAACCCAGCAGCCAAGACATCAGCTACTGGGCACGTCAGACAACGCTGAATGGTGGTGACGCGGCTGCCACTCTCTGCCCCTGCAAGCCTGCCTGAGGAACAGTGAGGCTGGGAGCCAGCTCTGCCCTGCTGAGTCAGAAGGCACAGCTGCAGAAGCGTGCCTAGAGGCAGAACCTGAGGCAGGGCTAGGCCCCCCCCCATCGCCTTACTGCAGGGGTCCCAAGGTTATTACATGGGGGGTCGCGAGCTGTCGGTCTCCCCCCCAAACCCCGCTTTGCCTCCAGCCTTTATAATGGTGTTAAATTAAAAACATTTTTTACTATATTTATAACGGGGGTCACACTCAGAGGCTTCCTATGTGAAAGGGGTCACCAGTACAAAAGTTTGAGAACTACTGCCTTACTGCCTTGGGTCCCTATGTCTTGGCCCTCAAAGGGCCAAGCATGCAGCCCCAAGACACACCCCTCTCCTGGCCAGTTCTGAGCTCTGGGGAGCTGCGGACAGGCAGCCCGTGTGCAGGGATGGCGAATCGGACTAGTTCTCTGTGGGCATCCAGTGACCAATTCCATGGCAATGACCCACTGCCCCAGTGATCACCCCCGGCCATGGAATGGGCTACACAGATCCTTGGTTACCATGTGTGCTTTCTGCAGCCACCCTGCGCTGCTTCCCTCTGCAATTCTGAGCCCTAAACAGAGCTACACCCTGCACTGCACAGAGTGATCCCACCCCTCTACGGCTGCAATATAAACAGATTCAGCCTAACTCTGGCTTAAGTTTCTTTGCCTCACCATGCCATGCCACCTTGCAATGACAGCTCAGGAACATGCCAAAATCCTGTAACATCAGCTAAGCGGCTTTAGAGCAGGAGAAGGGAGGGGCCTGGGAGACAGGACTTCTGGGTTCTTTCCCCAGCTCTGGGTGGGGAGTGACATCTAGTGGTTAGAGCCACAGGAGTTCAGAGCTGGGAGCCAGGACTCCTGGGTTCTCTCCCCAGCCCAGGGGCTAGTGGTTAGAGCAGGGTGGGTGGGAACCAGGACTCCTGG